TTTGTTCGGATTAAAAACCCCACAGTGGGGCAAATGCCATGTGCGTGGACGTTGTGGGGAAACTTCGTCTGCTATGAGCCTCCTTGAGTAGCCTTTTGTTTCGTAGCTTCTCATCATCCTATTGTATTCGCGTCTTAGTTGCTCGTTGCATACCAATTTTCGCTCTAGTGCCAGAAGCCTCTTCTCTGCCATTCCTCGGCTATTTCCTATTACATCTTCGTCGTTCTTACACAATAGTCCCGTCTCATAGCGCTCAGCAAACGCGAAATGTCGTTTGTTCCAGTATAGTACGTGCTCTCACTTCATCCTCTGGTTCAATATGTCTGACAGCAGTAGAAACGCCTAAGTCGTCACTCACCACAAAGTTTTTGACCAGCTCTTCAATGCTTTCGACTCCCGACGCCGTATCCGTACTGTTTTCTCGCACCAAAAATACGCGCTGATTTGTGTCGCTTCTGTTCCCCAGGGGACCGTAGATCACCCATCCAAGCTTGGTCAATACTGCAGCCGGACCCCGACGACCATCGTCGGCAATACGTTTCGCGACACCTAATTGCACGTTGTCCAAACCAATCAACAAGTCTGGAGTAGCACCTGAGTAACCCACTAATGGCAGTCTCTTTAAATGTCGTTGGCCTACGTCGAGCTGAGATATACTAAGTGTCTGTCGCGGCAACTGCAGATCCAACCGTCTTGACGTCGCCGAGTGGAAACCTTTTGCATTGCTTACTCACGCCCGATATCTCCATATTCACTGTCATCGAAGATTCGGTGACCGTGCTACTACCGAAGCACTGCAACGTTAGTTATTCTCTTGGACCCGTTATACTAAGCTGCGCCGCAAGTTTCTCGTTCATCAGACTCAAGGACGACCCTGCATCAAGGAGAGCGTAGCAGTCGACACTCCTACCATTAGCAAACAATTTAACTGAAAGAATTTTAAACAGTAAACTTCGACTACCAGGAGATACTTCAACGTTGGCGAGTATACGCGGCCTCGAATCGTTTTGATGGTTACTCTCCTCACGTTGAGATCGAGGCTCGTGTGGCAGCTCATGCCATTTCTTGTCACACCCTGTAACCGGACATCTATGTATCCCTACGCATGAAGTACCTCGATGGCCAGACTTTAAACAATTAAAACAAAGTCGCTTTTCGCGTATATATTGCCACATATCTTTATGAGAAAGGCCTAAGAATCGACCATAAGCTCGTGACCACCTGAACACATTTTACACCCGCCTCTATGAAGCTCTTGTGACTCTACCGCGTGCACGTCTTTCGGAATGATTAAAGTCTATTCTATTCTCAGGGATATTAGCAACGTTACGGATACGCGAAATCTGACTTTTAACCAAAATCTCAGGTCTACCAAATCGCTCTTTTAATGTTTCTAAACCGCGGTTTACATTACCGCTGTGTATCAGCAAACACTCTATCGTTTCCCTTGCTTGACCTTTCAACGCCTTCTGCAGCCGTAACATATTTTGCCGCCTAGTGTAATGATACTCCGCTGTCGTGGCCGTAAATGCTTCTCGAAACATCGGCCAATCTTCAGGTCGACCGTTGAACTCGGGCAAGTCGTTCAGCTAGATCACAGGCTGTGCAGGCGTTTGTGTTAAAGCGCGCCTCAGCTCACTGACCGCCTCTGCTAACGTGTTGTCTACCCTATCTTCCCCCTCAGAGTTCGTTTCAGTCGACGCTCTTACATTACGTTGCTGCTGATTTAAGGCTGCCTTTAAATTTTGCTGCTAATTGTGCCGGTACGCTAGCGGTACTTTCTTGTTAGGCGCCAATCGTATGCTCTCTCCGCCATTTTTGATGCCGACTGCGTTGTTGGCATTTATTGGCTATTAAAACCACGTTTTGACGGTCCCGATTAACCTTAAGCCTAATCCCCCTAATATCACTTACCGGCTCTTATAGTGGGTTAGTCCTCCCCAATTCTTGGAAGCAGGGCTCCGCTTAGTGTATGTAGTTCGCAGGTATGCTATACGTTCACTCCGGATGTGGCAATTTACTATGCAGTTTACTGCTGTCTCAAATGGGAGCTGGCCACGGCAATTTGTAGAAAGGAGATCAAATTAAGCTGGGAAGTTTACTACTGCTTCAATAATTCGTTCCGGTCACAACTGGCAGGAAAACTGGTTAGAAAATTGGTTAGCACAAACATGTGCTACAACATTGCTTGCATTTTTTTCTTTACGCTTCGTCTTCATATTCTTTGTTTACTTTTCACAGAAAATAACATGGCGCCGAAATTACAAACGTCAGCCAGAAAATTACTTTTTTCTTTTGCTTCATCTTGTGAGATCTTGTGTAGTTGGATCATGATAATGTATTGCTATTTGACATTTATGCCCATCTTCAGATGGCCTACTTAAGTGAAAATTGTTGATTAACTTCCGCTATTTATATTCAGATCATACATTTAATCTGCACTTAAATAGCCAATATTCGCCATTCAAATATGAGATATGCAACCCTGTCTTTTGTACTAAACAACCAAGATTGATTGGTAGGTTGTTTAATCAATCCCACGAAATCCCACCAAAAAATAATCAGCTGTTCAGTACAAAATGTAAATAAACTTGCATATGCAACAACAATTTCAAGGAACAAACAGCAGTGCTGCCAATCGTTTGACATATTTAAACGAAGTTGATCTGAAACCCATCGAAAGCTAAACGGCATTAAAACAACAACCCACAATTAAACTTAAGTGCCGTTAAATATTCATTTGAAATTGGCCCTTAATATATAACTTCGCCCATGATACAAATATTGATAAGGTACAATCGCTGAGAGCCAGCTGTTCCACAGACGGGCGCGAGGGCCAAAATAAAACTGAAATCATTAGTGGTGACTGTTGTAGTCGCCCAGCTATTGCTATCGTTGATGATTGATTGCTTGTGATTGTTTGTTTTATTTTCCTGCAAGTTAAGATTTTATAAAATTTTGCAATGTTGAATAAGTACAATCTTAAACTAAATCGAATTGCCTTACACTTTGTGTGTCCTCGCGCCTTTTTGTCTTCGGAATAAAATTATGGCGCTTTACATTTGACAGATACTAACATTTGACAAATACGAACATTTGACAGATATGAACAATCGGCAGCGTTGCCGGACTTAACAAAACTTGGATTTATGCACCGTGCAGGGTTGCATTGCTAAATTCAAAAATATTTAAGCTCTACTAAGTGTTTTCCTTCACATCATCCCGGGCGCCGTAGATCTAACCACTGCTAGATTCACCAACGTCTAGCTTCGCCAACATACAAGCTGGTCTCCGGAACGTCCATCCAGCCGTCTTCACTTCTGCCGCACGGACCTGCCCATCCTTGCCCGGCTTGACGCTAACGACTCGACCGATCGGCTACCTGGATCGATGCATGCGATCATCGCAGATCAGGACCAAATCTCCCAAAGACAACGGCTGCACGGGTTTCCACCACTTCGTTCGGCGGCACAAGTCCGGAAGATATTCCGCCATCCACCGCTTCTAGAAGCGATGGTGAATCTGCTGCATTTTTCGCAACTGCGTTCGCGTCACCTTAAAGGATTCTTCTTGCAGATTCGGAGTCTACTCCGAGTTCGCTGTGCCTAGGAGGAAACGATTAGGGGTTAAAGGTTCTTCATCAGGAGCGTCAAGTGGGATATGCGTAAGCGGTCGCGAATTCACAGCGTTTTCGGCTTCACACATGACGCTGTACAGCGTCTGCTCTTTAAATATTTCGATGTTGAATGCATGTTGCATGGCACGCTTTACACTATGTAGCAAGCGCTCCCAACATCCGCCGGCGTCTGTGTTCAACGGACAGTTGAACACCCATTCTATGCCCATGCCTCGGATATCTTTCCCTCTTCGAAGTCTTTGAGTTGACGCTGCATTTCCCTATCTGCTCCTATGAAGTTGATGCCATTATCCGACCTGATCCGCACCGGCGTTCCACGTCGACACATGAAATTCTGGATGCAGAGTAAACAAGTATCTGTAGTTAAATAGATAGCCATCTCAAGGTGTATCCCGCGTGTCGTCAAACACGTAAATAACGCGATCCACCGCTTTTCCGTACCTCCCAGCCACGATCAGAAACGGACCCATGTAGTCAAGACCTACATACGTGAACGGTCGTACAAATGGCGTAAGGCGACCCGCTGGCAGTTGTCCCATTTGTGGCACATCTGGCATAGCACGTCCTCTTTTGCACACAAGGCACCTCTTGGCTGCTTTCGTACTTCCTCGCGGATACGGGGAATCCAATATTTGCGTCGTAACTCCGACACGATGGTGTTCTCACTCTGGTGCTACCATATACGGTGGTACAAGTCAACAAGAGTATTGGTTACATGGTGTCCTTGTGGCATCACGACGGGTCGACGTGTATACGGGTGTACTACGTCAGCATTCTGCAGGCGGCCATTCACCTGCATAATCCCTGCCTCATCTACTACGGGGTTCAGTTTGAAAATTCTGCTGCTTGAGCATATTCGGTTACCATATTTCAGTAGAGCGTACTCTTCGACATAAGTGCTTTGATGCGTGCTGCGGATGACTAGTAGGTCCACTTCTCTGAGCTCTTGAATGTTGAGCGTTCCGAATAGTCTATTTCCTGGCGCCTTGTTGCAACTATTCACGAACCTTCGCATGTAGGCAACCACTCGTATCAACCGCATAATGTTTGAATATTTGAGCAAAAGGTTATCATTTATTCTAGTGAAAACTAGCTGGTGTTTAGTTCGTAGTTCTTCGCGCGTACTTTCGATGTTGTTAGTTTTGGGCCAGAACGATTCATCCTCCGTCAAGAAACCTGGACCACCATCCAAGATGACTCACGCGCGTTACTTCGGAGTCTGGTACCGAAGTCCGCAGGATTTAAAGCTCCCGGTACCCACCTACAGTCGCTTCGATTCGTCCCATTCACCCGATGAGCAACGTAAGGTTTGTATTTCCTATGGTCTGAAGCTATCCAGGCGTGAACAGTCCTTGAATCCGTCCACATGACTACACGTGACGGTTTGACGTCGTGGTATTTTGACACCATTATCTTCAGACGACAGGCTAGTACCGCAGCTTGCAACTCGTGTCGCGGAACCGTTGTAAGTTTTAGAGGTGCGCATTTAGTTTTCCCTGTCACTAGAGCCACTTCTACGCCGCGGTCAGTATTGATGCGCCAGTACGCTACAACAGCGAAAGCCGCCTCGATTGCGTCAGCGAAGATGTGGAGTTCAACAACTCCCGTTGAAAATGACGCCTTGTAGCAACGTGGCACTCTGATACCTTCGATGTAGCTCAACGTATTTAGCCATAACTTCCAAACAGTTTTCGCCTCCTCCGAGATTTCGTCATCCCAACTAGTTCCAGCTCTCCATACTATCTGCAGCAACAACTTGGCCTTGAGCACATGTTCTGCGGCAACGCCGAAGGGATCGAAGACGGACATCATTACGCGTAATAGTTCACGCTTAGTTGGAGTACGCCGACCTTGCAACAGCTCCGGGTCCACGCGACCGAAGGCCAAAAAGGACCTTAGCTCGTCGCTCCTCGTGTCCCATTGCATTCCGAGGACCTTCTGATGACCTGCCTCAGGTTTTTCGAAGTCTTTCATCGTTCCAACAGATTGACCATCACCTAGGGCATCGCTTACCGCTCGAGAATTGGACACGAATCCATTCAAATTGAATCCGCCTGTCCGATGAATGTACTTTACTTGTTTCGCAATGCTCCCGGCTTCCTCTACGTCAGCAAAGCAGTGAGCGAAATCATTCTCGTAGTGGTTATTTAATATAGACGGGACCGCCTCGGGGAATTCTCCGACAAACTCGAACGCATTTTTATTCTTAACAAATTGCGCCGCACAAGGAGAACAAGTCGCTCCAAAAGTCATCACTCGCATGGAGTACACCTGGATTTCATCACCGGACTTCTACCTCCACAAAAATCTCTGCCCTGGTTGATCTTCCACCCTTATGACGATCTGGTGGAACATTTCTTCAACGTCGGCGCTGACCGCTATCGGCTTCTGACGAAACTTCATCAAAACTTCGAGCAACGGCTTGCATAAGTCTGGACCGCTCAATAAATAGGAGTTTAAGGATCTCCCAGAAACTTGCGCTGCTGCGTCGAAAACGAGACGTACCTTTCCTGGTTTGTTCGGATTAAAAACCCCACAGTGGGACAAATGCCATGTGCGTGGATGTTGTGGGGAAACTTCGTCTGCTACGAGCCTCCTTGAGTAGCCTTTTGTTTCGTAGCTTCTCATCATCCTATTGTATTCGCGTCTTAGTTGCTCGTTGCATACCAATTTTCGCTCTAGTGCCAGAAGCCTCTTCTCTGCCATTCCTCGGCTATTTCCTATTACATCTTCGTCGTTCTTACACAATAGTCCCGTCTCATAGCGCTCAGCAAACGCGAAATGTCGTTTGTTCCAGTATAGTACGTGCTCTCACTTCATCCTCTGGTTCAATATGTCTGACAGCAGTAGAAACGCCTAAGTCGTCACTCACCACAAAGTTTTTGACCAGCTCTTCAATGCTTTCGACTCCCGACGCCGTATCCGTACTGTTTTCTCGCACCAAAAATACGCGCTGATTTGTGTCGCTTCTGTTCCCCAGGGAACCGTAGATCACCCATCCAAGCTTGGTCAATACTGCAGCCTGACCCCGACGACCATCGTCGGCAATACGTTTCGCGACACCTAATTGCACGTTGTCCAAACCAATCAACAAGTCTGGAGTAGCACCTGAGTAACCCACTAATGGCAGTCTCTTTAAATGTCGTTGGCCTACGTCGAGCTGAGATATACTAAGTGTCTGTCGCGGCAACTGCAGATCCAACCGTCTTGACGTCGCCGAGTGGAAACCTTTTGCATTGCTTACTCACGCCCGATATCTCCATATTCACTGTCATCGAAGATTCGGTGACCGTGCTACTACCGAAGCACTGCAACGTTAGTTATTCTCTTGGACCCGTTATACTAAGCTGCGCCGCAAGTTTCTCGTTCATCAGACTCAAGGACGACCCTGCATCAAGGAGAGCGTAGCAGTCGACACTCCTACCATTAGCAAACAATTTAACTGAAAGAATTTTAAACAGTAAACTTCGACTACCAGGAGATACTTCAACGTTGGCGAGTATACGCGGCCTCGAATCGTTTTGATGGTTACTCTCCTCACGTTGAGATCGAGGCTCATGCCATTTCTTCTCACACCCTGTAACCGGACATCTATGTATCCCTACGCATGAAGTACCTCGATGGCCAGACTTTAAACAATTAAAACAAAGTCGCTTTTCGCGTATATATTGCCACATATCTTTATGAGAAAGGCCTAAGAATCGACCATAAGCTCGTGACCACCTGAACACATTTTACACCCGCCTCTATGAAGCTCTTGTGACTCTACCGCGTGCACGTCTTTCGGAATGATTAAAGTCTATTCTATTCTCAGGGATATTAGCAACGTTACGGATACGCGAAATCTGACTTTTAACCAAAATCTCAGGTCTACCAAATCGCTCTTTTAATGTTTCTAAACCGCGGTTTACATTACCGCTGTGTATCAGCAAACACTCTATCGTTTCCCTTGCTTGACCTTTCAACGCCTTCTGCAGCCGTAACATATTTTGCCGCCTAGTGTAATGATACTCCGCTGTCGTGGCCGTAAATGCTTCTCGAAACATCGGCCAATCTTCAGGTCGACCGCTGAACTTGGGCAAGTCGTTCAGCTAGATCACAGGCTGTGCAGGCGTTTGTGTTAAAGCGCGGCTCAGCTCACTGACCGCCTCTGCTAACGTGTTGCCTACCCTATCTTCCCCCTCAGAGTTCGTTTCAGTCGACGCTCTTACATTACGTTGCTGCTGATTTAAGGCTGCCTTTAAATTTTGTATTTCTTCCATCATAGCTGCTAATTGTGCCGGTACGCTAGCGGTACTTTCTTGTTAGGCGCCAATCGTATGCTCTCTCACAGTAGTTTCGAAATCTTCATTCTCTATCCGCCATTTTTGATGCCGACTGCGTTGTTGGCATTTATTGGCTATTAAAACCACGTTTTGACGCTGCCGATTAACCTTAAGCCTAATCCCCCTAATATCACTTACCGGCTCTTATAGTGAGACAGTACTCCACAATTCTTGGAAGCAGGGCTCCGCTTAGTGTATGTAGTTCGCAGGTATGCTATACGTTCACTCCGGATGTGGCAATTTACTATGCAGTTCACTGCTGTCTCAAATGGGAGCTGGCCACGGCAATTTGTAGAAAGGAGATCAAATTAAGCTGGGTAGTTCACTACTGCTTCAATAATTCGTTCCGGTCACAACTGGCCCGTCAAAAAAGCGTGTAAGTCACTGCCGCAAAAGTGAAAATAAAAGGTGTTCCGCAGACGGGCTCGAGGGCCAAAATAAAACTCAAATCATTAGTGGTTGCTGTTGTAGTCGCACAGCTAATGCTATCGTTGATAATTGATTGCTTGTGATTGTTTGTTTTATTTTCCTGCAAGTTAGGATTTTATAAAATTTTTCAATGTTGAATAAGTACAATCTTAAACTAAATCTAATTGCCTTACACTTTGTGTGTCCTCGCGCCTTTTTGTCTTCGGAATAAAATTATGGCGCTTTACATTTGACAGATACGAACATTTGAGAAATACGATCATTTGCCAGATATAAACAATCGGCAGCGTTGCCGGACTTAACAAAACTTGGATGTATGCACCGCGCAGGGTTGCATAGCTAAATTCAAAAATATTTAAACTCTACAAAGTGTGCTCCTTCACAACACCAGCTTTAGGAATTTTGACGTTTGCTAGCATTTTTGAAAATTTCTCTCGCCGTCATTTCATTTGTTTGTTTTCATTTTCATGGAACCAAAAAAAATATATTTCTGTATGTATGTATGTATGTAAATAAATAAATGTAAGCAATTGTGTGTAATGAATTTCTGCCCACATGCTAAGGCGAAGATTTTGGCATACATTTAAACAAATTTAACCTTAAAGCCACTGCACTTTTGCTAAAAACTATCTTGGGTCAAGTGGTGTGGCAAAAAATGAGCCTAGCGCACATAGGCACTTGGGAAAATCCGCTGCCGTAACACCAGAAACCTCGATCAATTTTTGCGTACATATCTTGGATTTATTTTTCATGCAAATATAGGTTCGAGCACAGTATACAGTAATCCAGATAGCCAAAACAAAAAATGTAAATATGCTTATTTGACATTTTGTTTGAATGTATTGGTTGATATTTTTTCACAGTTGTCGTTTTCGTTAACCCAAATGAAATCCAATTTAAATATTTTCTTATAGTGAAAAATATTTTCAAGTCACATAAAATAAAATAACGAGAAAAACCAAATTCCAAGCAAATCAAGCGTGAAGCGTAAGCGATTATGACCGGATGCAGTTCCTACATAAGTCAAACCGTGTTCCGAACACAACTTTGAGTGAATAATGGTGGGCTGACTTTGTAAAATGGTCCCATCGATTAGGCGGTAAAACAAGCATTACTTAGCTTATTTTGGAATGTACAAAATTTGTATGTATTTCTTCAGCCGCTTATTCACATTTGAAAGAGGATAATGCATGAATTAATGCAAGTAAAGACGGTTTATGCAGATAAGCAAGCGCGTTTGTTAACCGTATAAAATGTATGTACATATATACACATATGCATACATATATATCAAAATATTCAGAATGACGAGATGAATTGGTCCAGGCCTCTCTGTTTGTAAACACGCTAACTTGAACAAAATTTCGATATTTTAACGAAAGTCGGTGTCGAAGTTGCCTTTGGTATAATTTAGGTTAGTGTTAAATTTTGGCGAAATCTGCCAATAACCACGAACACGTCCCACGTAGTAATTAAAATATTTTTGTTTTACTATTTTTTTACGAATTTTGCTGTTCAAATTTACATTTCAAATATATCAACAAACATTTGTGGGTACTCTTACATCAGTCGTTGCCTATGGGTTAGTGACAAAAAAATCCTATACATTCACAATATTTCATGTATTAATTTTCAAATAAGCATATTGTCAATGGCTGGCTTACTGTATACTGTGGGTTCGAGGATTTTTTATGAAGTGTGAAGTAAAGTGTTTTGTGATATAATATTACTTTTCATTTTGTGAATTTGGTGTAAGGTCTAATAAAACAATTGAATGTACTATTAAAAAAAAAAAACACAAGACGTAAACTTATACTATGGGTTTATTAATGCAATGTATACATATAAATACTTATTTCTTGCTTACAATGTTGGTAAAATGAAGGATGTAATTAAGTAACTTAACAACTTATTCAGAATTTTTATTGTAATAATTTAAATTGCAAATTCAATTTTGCGATTTCCTTTTGCGAATCTTTCTATTATCCTTTCAGTGTCAATTTGAATATCTAAGTCATTGTGGAAGAATACAAGTGAGATATCTTAGGGTTGACAGATAGTTGACAGGGTATTCAATATGGCGATGACAATTTGAACAATATGGCAGCCAATATGGCAAGCAAAACCGAACGGCCCGAAGCTGCAAAACTACGACCCGAATGAAATAATTCGCGAAAAAATAACGGGAAATGCCAGGGTTCCGAGGTGCTGTTTGGTGAGCAGGGTTTTGTGCAGCTCCGAAAAAAGATGAAACAGGGTTCTGTGTTTATTGGAATTGCAGTAAAGTGTTGCTTTGCAGCATAATTTTTTAATTATAATTTTATTCCAAATAAAGAAAAATGAAATTTATCGAGTTTCGAAGGAACAAGAAATATCAATAAAAATAATTTAGTATATATATAATATAGTTTTTAATAAATTGAGTAATTTTTTTTATTTATTTTGAGACAAAATGTAAGTATACTTAATGTTTCAGCATACTACTGTGGCTGCTTTCGTCACTCGCGCGCACTGCCGTGCGCTGTGATAAATATTATCTGAGAGTTCAATAATCCAGTGTCATCTCAAGTCACTAAATTTGAGACAATTCACGTTTTCAGAGAAAAAACAGTCAGCTTATCGTATGTACCAGTTGGTGTCGTTCAGAAGAAAATTGATTATTGTATTTCATTCCTACACGTACTTGAACAAAATGGCAGATCAGTGCTCATAATTGTGAACAAATATTATTTTCTTGTTGTTTATTTCCTTTGTTCTGTTATTGAATAAATAATATGGGTCTTCATCAAAAGTGATAAACTCTTGATAAACTTGATAAAGTGATAAATTTATCATTTTGATAAATGAACTGTCAAACTTTGTATGGAAATCTATGTAACAAAAGTTTATCACTTTATCAAACGACTTTGGTGGATAAATGTATAAATTTAAGCAAAATTCAACCCCTACAGATTGCCAGGTAGTCGCTTTTGCTACGAACACATAAAAGCAAATGAACCATATTGTAATACTCCTATATTGGCAGTAAGAGCTAGTACCGTCCGAAAACACTACAGTACAGATATATCAATAAACACGTACGAAAGAAAAGGAACACATACGTTTATAAATAAACATGTACACAACACATATACAAAAACGGCACTCAAGTACACAATACATTGACAAAAACGGTACGAGACTGTCTCGCTTTGATTTCGGAATGCTTACACATTGAGAAGTTAGCTTACTGCCAATATAGAAGTATTACATATATGAAATGAACACAATGGACGAGGTAAGAATCAGGGATGAAAAAGTAGGTACAATTGTACCTTTTTCCGACGTTTGATGACTTAAAGGTACATTAGGTACAGTCACTAGATTTTAGGTACAATCATCTTTTGATCAGATGTATTATTAGTTTTTTTCCTTTACCGTGCTAATATATTTACTTGTAGGTACGGGAGAAGTTTCGCTTTTATTTTGAAGAATAAACAATTCTAGAGAAAAGTGGTCAAAAGGAAGACATAAAAAAAAAACATATTATGTATTACCTTAAACATTTTACATTGCATTTAGAGCAGGCACTACGAAAAATTAACACTTTACTTAGCTTCGTATTTTTTTTCTATTAATTTTAACGCTTATTTTCACTAAGTCAAATTCAGTGGCATTTGCGGTCAAATGAGTGAAATGGGACTAAAAACTGGCCTTGGTTTGATTTAGATCAGAATAGGCCTTCATTGTCAAATGGGACTAAAAAATGGTCTTTGGTTTGATTTAGATCAGAACAGGCCTTCAGGCGTGTACATGCGCTGCTAAGGCGGCTATTTGTAAGTTTTTGGCCCATAATATCATCGATAAAGGTAGGGATAAAGGAAAGAAAGTTGTGTCAAAATAAGTCAAAAAATTTTGTTGTCAAAATATTACATTGTGAAAACCAGCCTTTATCCATCCATACAGCCCAGTGTCTAGGATGTCTTCAAATTTCATATTTTTAGATGAGAACTACAGCTATTTGACCCATACTCGCTTTTTGATTTCTGGAAATATATTTAAAATGCTATCGAAGTTACTTACGGCACATTGATAATATTCTCTAGATTTGCTGCACCTATTAACAGGAATCGGATAAATAATATCATCGATAAAGGTAGGGATAAAGGAAAGAAAGTTGTGTCAAAATAAGTCAAAAAATTTTGTTGTCAAAATATTACATTATGAGAACCAGCCTTTATTCATCCATACAGTCCAGTATCTAGGATGTCTTCAAATTTCAAATTTTTAGATGAGAACTACAGCTATTTGGCCCATACGCACTTTTGATTTCTGGAAATATATTTAAAATGCTTTCGAAGTTACTTATGGCACATTGATTATATTCTCTAGATTTGCGGCACCTATTAAAAGGAATCGGATAAATTAGCAGACTTCCTGTTGTTTTATAAAAAGCTGGATAAAGAAGTATAGTTCGCAAAGTGTGTGTTTTGTCTTTTTCGCCAATATTTTTTAGTAGTCAAAATTAGACAAAAACAATGCTTCTCCAATTCCCATTAGACTATAGTCTATAGATATAGGCTCAGTTGAAAAACCTAATCATGTTTAAAGTACATATATCTTTTGTATTCATGTTTTAAATAAAATTTATTAAAAAAAACTACAAATGAATGATGTAACTTTTTGTAGGTACAATCTGTCTGATTTAGGTACATTTATTTTGTGATATTTATTATGTACAATCTGAAATTTCCATTTTTCATCCCTGGTAAGAATGAAACTTAACTAGCCATGTAAGTTAAATAATCAACAGTTTTATGCGAATATTTACCAAGGTGCGTTCATGAAAGGATGCGGATAAATTGATACATTTAAGCAATTTATCCCTTTATCACTTTAGATGAAGACTACTAATAATTAGGTGCTTTAAGAATTAAATAAATAAAAATCATCTCTTCCCCCTTTTTGACTATATACGCGCTAATAATATTATTTTAAAAACAAGTTTTAAACAAAATGTGTAATATTTGTTGCTAAAAATACAAAAGCTATATGAAAAAATGACTTCTGAAGGAAAACTGTTCGAAAAAAATTTAGAATTTTTGTACTTAAAATGTATCGGAATTTTATGGGGGGTCATAAAAATGCGTTTTACTCCCAACTTTGTTTTTCGGATATAGTTGTTATTCTTTATTGGCACAGATATAAATATTGAATGAACTAACATATCTTAAATTTTTAGAAAACTACCATTTATATGCAACCCTGCCAATATGCAAGGAGATGTAATTTAAAAAATTTAAACGGATTTCTTCAATCAACCTGAGCTGCGGGCATCTTGCGAATTTATTTTTAAGCATTTTATAGAGCATAATCAAATTTTGATATCTTTTGAGATCTTTCAACAAAATCAGCATCAACGAGGTAAGCATTTAATAAATATCCCAAGTTTCATTGCATATTCTAATTGCTTGTATGCTATTTTTTATAACAGGAAAATGGTCAACCAGGCTTGTATCGTTGGATGCGGATTAGGGGTACCTCTGTATCCCTTCCCACCAGAGGGAGAGATCGACCGGTGAGTGTGCAATATTAGTTTTAAAATAAGTGTGTGTGTTT